CGTTGGGCTCCCCGCTCAGCAGAGTCTGCTCAACATTCTCTCTCTCCATTCTTCTGCCTGTTCACACACACACACACACACACACACACACACACACACACACTCTCTCTCTCAAATAAATAAATCTGAAAAAAAAGGCTTAAGCATATGAAAAATTATCTATGAGATACTCTAAGTACCTGGAAAACAAAGCACCTCCCCTGTGGGAAAAGAAAAGGCTGTCATGGGCATTCTTTCTTTCAGGGAGAAGTTGTTTCAAGTCCCACTGCCCTAGATGGACAACTTTTCAGTACACAAAAGTGGTGAGAGGCTTTGGTCTACGTGTCTTCTGAGAACCCAGCACTAATCAAGCAACAATTGAGCATTCATTATATATAAGGTAGATTAATGCATTCCAAAAGACAAACACACATAATCTTATGTGTTTCCTTCCGGTGGGTGGAAGAAAATCGCTTTCTCTACCTTTAAACCCAGCACATCCTGTGGGCTGCGGAGGGTCTGAAGCATGTACCTGTGCTCCATGTAGCAGCTCAGGGGCTCCACGCACACCGTGATGGCACCAATGGTGAAGGAGGACTTGACCTTTGAGTCTGGATGGGTCTGCAGGGCCTGGACGACATCAATAACATCTGTGTAGCTGGCAGAAAAAAGAGAAAGATTAGCCTACTGACTGGGGCCGCAGAATGCTGAGGGGCTGAGTGAGCAAGGGTGGAAAGAAAACCACAAGGAGGAGCCTGTGACTGGGTTCGTTGGGGTCACCCCACTTAATGATTTAGAGCCCCTCCCTGCATTCCACAACGTTTCTGCATCCCCAAACCTCATTAGTACTCCTAACTGTGCAAGAGTGAGTGGAAGAATCCCCCACCACTTCTAGGAGTAAAGGGACGCCTGCAGATGACCCTGGCGCTCTAAGGGTGGGGCTTGGTGTCCTTAGGCCTGTTTTCCAATCATTTTAGGAGCTCTTGGGTTGGTTTATTTCCTTTAATAGCTTTTTTTCTCCTTCTGCCTCACAGAACATGCAGACAGGAGAGAAACAGGGAGCACCCCTGTAGGTCAGCAGATGCATGTCAAACCCCACCTGCATTTCTATTTCCTGCCTGAACTCCCTCCAAACTCCAGACTTCCAGAGCCAATTTCAAGGAAATGGAACAAATAATCCTAAAATTTGTATGGAGCTAATTTAATATTTTCAGTTAGAACTACTTAACATGTTCATGATTCAATTTCCCATGCCTGTCCCTCCCAAGGCCTTGTCCTTCTCAGCAGAGGGGATTCCATTCTTTCAGCTGGTAGGCCAAAAAATTTGTTTGGAGCCATCACTGACTCCATTTTTTCTCAATTTTCAAAATATAACTAGAATAAGATGGCTGCTCACATTCTCCCACTACTACTGGATCCAGACTGTTATCATCTTTTGCACAGACTACCCCACAGCCTCTTCACTGGCCTCCCTGCTTCTGTCCCTACCCCTGCCCAACCTGTTTTCAACAGAGAAGCCAGAGAGATCGTGCTAAGCCACTGAGTCAGTGGCTTCCATCCCACTCAGCGTCAAAGCTTTTAAAGCCCTTACAACAGCCCCCACGGCTGTCTGTGATCTGACTTCTATACGGGAGGAGTTTTTCCTCCTACTATTCCTTCCCTTACTTGACTCTGTCTGCCCACTGTGACCTCCTGGCTCTTCCCTGAACATGCCAGGCATATTTCCACCCTGGCACTCCCTGTCCTCTCTCCTGTGATGCTGTTTTCCTCAAATGTCTGCCAGGCTTGCTCCCTTCAGTTCTCTGCCCAAATGGCATCTTGAGAAAGGTATCCTCTGACTTCCTACAGCCTATGTGATATAGCAACCCTCCTTCTGCACAACCTGCCCCCGCCCCAATTCTTCCCTACGGCACTGAACATCAGTTACATACACTGTATTTTCTCATCTGTTTGTTTATAGTGTGTCTCTGCAGTAATAACATAAAGTGGTTGTTGAATGGTATAATCTGTGGTGCCTAAACAGGACAGATGAATGAACTGGATGTTCAATCCTGGGTAGACTCATGGCCACTCCAAGAAGGGGCCTCCACTCTTTACCTTGTAGAGAACATTTTCCCAACTGACCCAGCCTATCACCAAAAGGTCAGTTCCTACAGGAGGGAAGGCAGCCCTGCTGATCATATGGGCCTGGGTCCTTGGGAAGCTAGTGGTGGTGCCTGGGGGGATAGGTACAGCCTGCCTGAGCCACTTCCTGAGTTCCTACAAATAACTCACGTGCAAAACAGCCCTTGGCTTTATCCGGGACTACAATATTCATACCCCCACCCCCAGGTCTGCCTCAGTTCCGACCAACTAGCAGGGCTTCAATCAAGAATAGGGTGTGCCCGGTTCTAGAGCTCCCCCATGAGGGCCTGGCAGCCAGAGAGCTGTTAGAGTGAGCCCTCTGCTCCCTGGTTTCTCCCCCTGCCTGGGCACATGTGTGTATTGCCACATGGGGTTCTTTCTCCTGGTTCTGCAATGTCTGGTTAGGCCTGGATGCAGGAGAACCACCCACACTGCCTGCACTGCCGGGCCTCGTGCGTACTTGTTAAGCGGAACTGACTGAAGCTTATATACTACCCCAAATCTCTGTGGTCATGTTTACCAGATTTAACTCTCCTGGTTAAGCGCCCCAGCCTTGCTTCTAAGCATTAGCTTTCCCCCTCTTCTAAAAACAAATTTTGGAAGCTTTTTATTTTCCATGTTTGGTATGAGCCTAGAGACTCATTTCGTAGGACTGAAAAGAACTGAAAGATTTACCAGTCCTGCAGATTTTGGTCATTTTAATACCATGGATTATCCTTTAGAAAGAGTGGCTAGAGAATTCCCAGGTTTTCAGAACATTCCATTCAATGGAAAAAGGTTGGAGTGAAAATAGGCCCCAAAGTCCTTGGTGAGACCAGTGCATCTGGGCACCAGGAACTGCTGTGGCAAGGGAAGAGGCTCTTGGTGTCACTCACTGTACTTGCTGGGACAGGGAGGCTGCTAGACCCTCCCTCCCTCCCCAGCCCTTGCCCCATAATCATCCTGGCCAGGGACTCCAAACAGGAGGAAGCAGGCCTCACTACAGAAGGAAACACACTGCTCCAGCTACCAGAGTTTGTACTTGACCACTTTGGCTAAACTGCCTCGAATGCACGATGAAGGCAAAAAAACCTGGCTTTTCATGTTTGCCTCTTTCTTGTCAGTTCTCTTTATTAAAAATAAAAGCAAAACAACAAAACAAAACCAAACCCCTGCAGGACTTTAACTTTCTTTCTTTTGAAACAACAGATATCCTATTCAAGTGTCCTTTGGCCTCTGTTTTATGTTTGCAATTTAAGCCTACAATTTGGGCATGTGTTTTAGATTAATTCAACTTTTGTTTTGAGAGAGACTTTGTTTATAAATATTTTAAATAATCTAAAGAATGATTTTACAATATTCTGGAGTATAAAGAAATACAATCCCTCAAATTCCTTAAAATTAATATTTTAAAATACAGATTTCCCCAGTTTTATGTATGTGTGTGTGCGCGTGTGTGTGCTTAAGTTCCAGACAATTTTGTCACCTGTGTAGGTTTCTATATCCATCACCACAGTCAAGACACTGAACAGTTCCAACATCACCAGGATCCCTTGTGCTGCCTTTTTATGACCACGCCCACCTTCCTCCTGCATCCCACTCCCATCCCTAACTCCAGGCAATCACCACTCTGTCCTCTATTTCTAAAATTTTATCATTTCAAAATACACTGATTTTATTTATTTTTAATTTTTTTAATATATATATTTTAAGATTTTATTTATTTATTTGACAAAGAGAGACACAGCGAGAGAGGAAACACAAGCAGGGGAAGCGGGAGAGGGAGAAGCACGCTCTCCGCGGAGCAGGGAGCCCGATGCGGGGCTCGATCCCAGGACCCTGGGATCATGACCTGAGCCGAAGGCAGACGCTTGATGACTGAGCGACCCAGGCACCCCAAAAATATATTGATTTTAAAAACAACAACTCCACTGGATATCAAAGCTCAACACCACTGCCCCACTGCTGCAGTAAGCCAAATGGAACCAGGTCGCTCTAGGGGCAAAAGAAAACTCTGCCTTATATCACAGCATTCCTCCAAGAATCCTATAAATGAAGATAAAAGCCACATTCAGGAAATACAATTCTCAATTTGAGAAGCCTCTGGAGTCTCCCTTTACTGGCAACCTCTCAATACTGGGCTCAAAGGTCCAGCCCCAAGGAGATGATCATGCAAAAAGGAGGCTGCCACGAGCTCTCTGCTGAGCCTCAAAGAGAATGGGCCCAGCTTGTAAGAGCAGTGTCTTAGCGAGAGCCATAGCATTTAGTTGGTATTTCCACTTGAGTCCTTCCGGAAGTCCGAGGTCCCTAGCATCCCAGGACTGTGACTGGGCAAAGGCTGGGTCTGAGGACAACTCAGACTGGGCTAGCTATACACTGTTACTGCAATCCAGAGCAGCCAGGGCAGCTGACACATTTGCAGATGAGTATTGTCAGAGACAAGGCGTTAATGATGCTCTCTCAAGTGACAGAAGATGGCAATGCCCTACACAATGTCAAACTGCTGAATTTGACTCCAGGTCCACATCCCCAGTGACTCTCAACTTTGGCAGGGGCCAATCTATTCCTTTGACCACTAGAAGCAATGGAAAACCCAAAACGGGTGCCTAGGTGGCTCAGTCCATTGAGTGTCTGACTCTTGATTTTAGCCCAGGTCTTGATCTCAGGGTTGTGAGTTCAAGCCTTGTGTTGGGCTCTGGGCTGGGCATGGAGCCTACTTAAGAAAACAACAAAACACACCAGTGGTTTCAAGCCTAGACTCTTGCTCTGTGGCTTCCATGACCTCAGCCCACAAGCAGGACAAAAGGTCTGAAGGAAGGGAAGCCCAGGGCAGGTGTGAGAACAAAGCCTGAAGGAGAGAAACGATGGCCTGGTGGGCTGGTGGGGTGCACAGTCCCGCCCGCCTCCAGCCTAAGGACCACCAGCCTAGCTTTTCTAAACTTCTCACCATCCACCAGGAGACTCAACAGGGCTTTGGAGCTGGGCCTACTCTTTACTGGAAACAATTAGCCAATTGCATATAGTAATTATTATGAGCACAGAAAATACAGCATAGCATAAAAGCACTTTGTGAGAACTGCCAAAAGCTTCTGTATTACCAGGCATTGTGAAGACCACAGCCTGTGTTTTCCTGACCTGGCATGTTCTCCTCTGGGCCTGGAGGGTAGTGGGCCTGCACAGAGCTCCTCTCTGGAAGGCCTTAGAATGGGTCAAGGTAAGCTCCTTGAAGCCTGGGTTCCTGAGGCAGTAGTACTCACTCTGTCAAATCTGTCCTCTGAGGGAGCTCCCTGCCCAGATGGACTACTTATGCTCCCCACTGAGGGTCCCAGGAAACTTTCCTGGACCAGCCATCCTGGGGATGGTGGGGCTCAAGACTGCAGAGTGTGGGGGCTGTCTCTGCAACTCCACATGAGGAAGGACTGAAACAAATGGCAAAGGAAGAGGCTTAGGGATCACTATTGTTCCAAGAATTATCAAAGAATCTTGCCCAGAAAATCTCTTCCCTAATTCTCTACCTTTTGGGGATACCATGATACCGAAACCAAACTTAGTTTTTGTTTTGTTTTTTAATTTGACAGAGAGAGACAGTGAGAGAGGGAACACAGCAGGGGGAGTGGGAGAGGGAGAAGCAGGCTCCCTGCTGAGCAGGGAGCCCGATGTGGGGCTCGATCCCAAGGCCCTGGGATCATGACCCGAGCCGAAGGCAGACGCTTAACGACTGAGCCACCCAGGCGCCCCATCCAAACTTCATTTTTATTTAATTTAATTTTTTTTGGGGGGGGGAGGGTTGAGGGAGAGGAAGAGAGAGAATCTTAAGCAGGCTCCATGCCCAGTGTGTAGCCCGATGCAGGGCTTGATCTCACAACCCTGAGGTCATGACCTGAGATGAAATCAAGTCAGACAGCTTAACCAACTGAGCCACCCAGGTGCTCTGAAACCAAACTGAAAACTTGTGTGCAAGCTACAGCAGCCACTCTGGGCCACGAGACAGCAACCAGAGTCCTTGCTTGTTTAAGGCCTCTCTGGGTAGTGCAGACTCTGCTCATGAACATGTGGAGGTCGTTCTGTGCCCCAGGCTAGCCACATACAAAATAACAGTAATGGCAAGGTCATCACCATACCCCACTGTCCCCAGAAGACTTCTAGTACTCACCCTTGCAACACCACTAGCAGTCGGGTCTTTTTGCGGATGTAGGCTGACTGGCGGGCAGGGCGGTTCTGCTGAGCCTCCAGGACACTGGAAAGGTATCTTTGGAAGTGGGCAGCATGAAAACATTCGGAGCTATCCATGATTTGGCGGTATACCATCCACCTGGAAATGGCAAGTATAATCTCAGCCTGGGGGCCACCTGATGGCCTGGCCCCACAGGCTCAGCCAGTGGATCCAAATGTGACTGACCAGTACTCCCACAGACATTCTGCCCAGTGACCCTGCACAGGAGAAAGCAATCCTGGCATCACAGAAACAAGCGGAGAGCACTGGGTGGGGAGCTCCGTATCCTGAAACCACTATCACTGGAACTTTTGATAGGAAATGGCTTGCCACAGGAAAAAAGGTCAGGTAAGCACATGACCATCAGTCAGACTTTGGAGTTGAGAAAGACTCCTTCTGAACAGGCAGTCATTTCCTGAAGGACCATCCAATAAAATGGTTTCAGTCTGGTGCTCAGTAAAACTCTTGCTAAGAAGTGAGCATGGTAAAGAATTCAGACTAGTTCTACAACAAAAGCAATGGATACGAGGGAGGAACTGGCTAGCCACTCAGTACTTAGAAGAGGCCCAATATTTCCCTAGCTTGTCTCTAAAACCTGTCCAACCTCCCAAATCTCCCTGAACTCCCAGACTTCTAGGCGATTTCCACCTTCTCCATTCCTTACGGCCTCCTGCAAGATGCCTTACTTTGAGGTAGACTGACTAGATATTAAATGTCTGTTCAGTTAGCCAGGGTTGTTTAGTAATCTGCTGGCCATATGAACGTAATGGATGAATGATTTCCCCAATTTCCCCTAAGCCGACGTGTCCCAGCTGCGCTGGAATTGACACAGTCCCCTTGTGGTCAGGGACGGATCACATCTACCAGCTCCCAAGTTCTAACTACTCTGGTCCTGAATGGCCCTGCTGACGGGGCATACTCCCAGGCCTTTGCCTGTGCTGGTTCTGCTGCTATAGTGCTCGTCCCCAGATTTCCAAAGGTTCACTCCTCATTTCCTCAGGCCTCTGCTGAAATGTCCCCTTCTCAGTGAGGTCTTCCCTGAGCACCCAATTTAGAACTGCAATCCCTCCCCCAGCTCAAACTCCCTATACCCTTCTCTACTTTGTTTTCTCCATAGCACTTTTCACTAGCTAATATACTACTTTATCTGGTTAATCGTATTCCCAAACTAGAATGTAAGCTCCACAAGGGCAGAGACTTTCTAGTCTGTTTTGTTCATCTGTCACCCACACTTAGAACAGTGCCTGGCACACAGGAAGTGCTCAGTACAAACGTGTTAAATGGATGGATGGCTACCGTGCTGATACCAATCACACCAAAGGCCAGTACATGCTGAAGGTCTCCCAGTGCCTATGGGGCCCAGGCACAGAATCCCTTTCCCCAAAGCAAAGGCGGCAGCCATACTAACCTGCCATATTCCTTATGCAGAGTGACCAGAAAAGCACAGAGCTCGCTAGCATGACAGCCTGGGAGGCCAGTTACAATGCTGATAATTACCTACATGAAAGAAAAGTCATGTGGGTTTGTCATCCAACTGGGAGATGGTGTTGTGTAAAAGGTTAAGAGAACTGACTTCTGGAGCCAGGTTCCGTGGGTCTGAACCTCAGCACCAGCACTCACCTAGCTATGTGACCTTGGGCTAACAACAGAACCTATCTTGCAGGGTGGATGTGATGATTAACTGAGTTAATATATGCGTGTGTTAATATATAAGTGCTTAGAACAGTGTGTGGCACATAGCAAACACCATATAAAATGTAGTGTTACTAATACAATTTCCATGGAGCAGGTTTGACTAGATCAGTTAAAATACAACGGAAAACACTGGGTAGAAAGGAGGTCTGAGACAGAATGTCCCAGGCTAAAAAACTGGTGTGGTAAGTAAGCTCAGCGAAGGAGAGGAGTGGCACGGGGATATTTCCGCCTGGCTGCCCAATCCGTCCAAACTGCATGGCCTGAGCTAAGGAAGCAAATGGGGTGTAGGAAGCACTCCTGAGTCTTGACCAGAAGAGGAGCAGGCTGAACTGTCCTAGCCGTAGCACACAATCAAATGAAAACAGGGCCCTCTGCAGGTACGTATTCCGAAACACCTTGAAGAAATCCCCTGACAGAGCAGGGGTCGAGCAGGGGAGGAAAGGAACCAGGTAATCACTGAATGGTACTGATGTAAATGACATAGCATGTGTTTTCTTTCACAATACACAAGGCTCACCGGGAACAGGCCTGGTCACAGATAACTTAGACTAAAGCTCAGCTTGGTGGCACTTATCACTTGAGTCGGTCGCATCAGCAGAGGGCACCCTCCTCTTTTCTGGGAACCAGTTCTCCTTCCTCCCCTCTGACCAGGCCCCTACTCTGTATGCCTTTCTGCTCCTGCACGCAGTACTCCATGTAACTTTTTGTTTATCCTCCTCACCTTGGGTCCTATTCCTCATCGCCCAGGCCCCTGCCTCTCAAATCACAGCACATGTGCTTATAGCCAGACACCTTTTTACTTTAAAGGCCTGTCCTATAGCACCCTTTTAATAAAATACAAGAGGCGGGCATTTTCATTTTTAAACTCTTGCCTAAGGGAAAATCAAGGCTTCTAATTACTTAGTGCTTCTATTATCTTTTGCAGCTGAGCATCTTCTAGGTTTACATATAAATAATGCCCTCTCTGAGCGAATTATGACATTTGGTTCTGAAGAAATGGTGGGAGGGGTAATGAGGAGGGGCATGTGAGATGGGAGCGGATTAAAATCTACTCTTGGGAAGACAAGGTTTATAAAGTATCACCTTACCCTGGTGATGCCAGCAAGGCCCAACTAATAAGGCCCTTCCTCTTATTAAGCTCAATGTGTAACCCATTGCCAGATAAGGCCTTGTCATAAGCAGAAAGAGCTGATGGCACGAGAGCACTAAGCAAGAATTTGAAAGACACAGAGAAGCCAGGGGAGGCACGGCAAGGGGCCAGGGCTTTATGGCTGCTGTGGGGCTTGGCTGGGGTCACTGCAGATGCCTGTATACACTCATTATATAGAGCAGGTTTCATATGTATTATTCTATCAGTATCCTAAGAGGTGGAGAGTCTTACGAAAGGAACTCTGCTTGAGCTCTTTTTGTTAACTGACACAGAAGATCCAAGGGCAGCCTATTGGGATTATCCTCCTGTGAATTCACAGCATATTTGCTGAGCTGCTGTACCTTGTCATTTTCTACTCGGTAAGTAGGGCTGATTTCAGCTTGCTGCAGCAGGACAGGGAGATGGGTCCTCATCACAGGCTCCTGACTAATGCTGCTGATGGCGAAATGCTGAAGAAACCTAGAAAAACAAAGACAATGCTATTATGTTACCATCACCCGCCTTGCCTGAATGTTCTCTTTCACATGAGAAACTCATTTAATTGCTAAAAAAGAAACCTTAGAGAGATTCACTCCACAGAATAAAATTGTATATGGTGTCACTACTACTTTTTATACTGATCCCTAAGAAGCTATGAAGAAAAAGGAGCTTAGAAAGGACCAACATTGAGGTTTCTGACATTTCAAAAGCTAGAACATTAAACATCTATAAACAGAAAACTGGAGCTCACCAGTCTAGCTCTGGAAGTTTGGCTGGGAGTAGCTTTAGAGGACTCTGTTTCTCCCCAGCAGAATGGCCCAGGACACTGAAGAGCTTCTGGGCATTGGAGTGTCTGGAATATCAAAAGTTCATAGATTAGAACTCCATCTCCCTACAGCACACACACTTTACATAACTTGTTCTGATGCTTTCAAGCCAGAGTCCCGTGACACAGTCAACACTTCCAAAACAAGCATCTCACTGACTTGGAACACAATGCAGCATTAGTGTGTGAGGACGGGTGTGCCCACAGAGGAAGGTTCACCTGAAACCCTTGGTAATATTATGGGTTTCTGATTTTTGGTGGATTTCATCTCTCTTGACTTCTATTTCCCCAAGGGCACTGGCTACCTGCAAGGGGAAGCGCTGAAATGATTGCGCTGGCCCTTTCAGAAGCCAAGACCCCTGTGTTACATAACGTAAGTTGTCCTGCAGAGAGAGCAGACACACACAGCTTCGGGAAACAAGCATAAACACTGAAGGCAGCCACTTACAATCTCTTTTGTTCCACAGATAATCCATCTTCCTGGATCACTTTTAAAGACAGCCCTGAGTTAGCCTGCTGCTGCCAGGGGGAGAAGACCTAAACAAAACAGAATTTGAGCAAAGAACACTTTAAACCCAACAACAGGATATGGGATCCACATGGGGATTTGATGGTTGTTGAAAATCTAGACTGTCAGTACAGAGAAACACCATCATAACAAACAAGTTTGTTTCAAAAACAGAGGCCTGCAGCAATTTTGTTCTGTATTTTTCAAAACTAGAATTTCTTTCTGGGTTCCTCTCCCAGGGACTCTGCTACTTCAGAGGCCAGAAAGTACGGAGTAAGGTGTCAGGTAACACTGTTCTGGCAGCAGGGGCACGTTCTTCCCTGGGGACAGGACCAGAAGAAGGAGCGGGTCACGCAAGTCCTGCCTAGGGGCAGAGGGATGGCTGAAGAGAATGTAAAGGGCTCTCTCTCTGTGTTCCTGGGTTGAAAGGACAAGCACAAAGAGGTAGGGAGGACCAGCGGGCAGCAGGAGGGAGACATGGACTAGCCTGAGATGCCACTCTGCAGCCAGGCCAGCTCTTCTCTCTTCCATGTTCAGTCAATCTGCCCTGAGAGAGGAACACTGTCTCCTCACAGGCTGCGGCAATCAGACCTTTCTGAACATTTCCACCAGGCATGAGGCTGGCCATGTGTTTAACTTTGGCTATTGCTTGGTCTCTAAGTGGGTTGTATAATTCTTGGTAAGCTCCCCCTCATGCAATCTATACCGAGTGCCTATAACATGCAGCCTGCTAGGTGGGACCATTCACAAGGGGAGGGCCTGTGAACCATGGGAAGGGAGAGACTAGGGTGGGGTAGAGAGCTCTGATCCATTAGGCAGGGCCAAATAATTCAATAAAGTAGCTAAAAGAAAAATGAGTCTAATTAGGATTTAAAGGGACAAAGAAGATTTGTCTTAGCAGCTAAAAAGCCTTTTGTTCAGTTCCTTTAGGTTCTCATCTCTCAATGGCAAAAGCACCATTCTAGGACCCAAGGGGATTAGAAGCAGCCACCTCCACCAGCCCTCCCAGCTCTGCCTCTCATCACTTCACTCTTAGCCCTGAGATGTGGCCTTACCATCTAAACTCCTAAGGAAAAAAAAGTAGTATTTGTTTTGCTGACTAATGATTGGTGTTACCTCTGAGTAAAATGCTTGGTATATCTTTGATTTGGGGAAAAGGGCAATCATCAGAAAATTGCTTGATCCATGGAAATGAACTGGGAGATGAGGAAGCAACGAGCTTTTGAAGTCTATCAGAAGGGAAGCAACAACACTTGTGGAATCCTAAAGAGAAAAAGATGGAGCATCAGTGAGAAAAGCCATTTGCATGACACTAGCCCTCACAATTATTGTCAGGACACATGTGAGGAATTTCACTGCAATTACTTTCACATTATGTGGTGTACTGGGGTCCAATGATAGATGTGCTTTTCCAATACCCAGTTAAGGGAGATACAGATGGGAAGTATAAGGGTCTTTTCTCCTAAACTGAAAATGTCATCTTAAAATTCCTTCTACAGTATCAATCCCTAATCAGATATATGATTTTTTAAAAAAGATTTATTTATTTTAGCAGCGGGAAGGAAGAGGGAGAGAGAAATCTTAAGCTGACTCCCCACCAAGCACAGAGACCAATGTGGGGCTCAATTTCACAACCCTGAGATCATGACCTGAGCTGAAATCAAGAGTTGGATGCCCAACTGACTGAACCACCCAGGCGCCCCGATATATGATTCTTTTAAAATATTATCTCTATACCCAACATGGGGCTTGAACTCACGACCCCAGAATTAAGAGTCACATGCTCTACCGAGCCAGCCAGGCGACCCATGATTTGTAAATATTTTCTCCCATTCTGTGGGTTGTTTTTACTTTCTTGATACTGTATTTTGATGCACAGAAGTTTTCAATTTTGATGAAGTCCAATTTATACATTTTTTCTTTTGTTGTCTGTGTTTTTGGTGTCATAATCCAAGAAATCATTGCCTACTCCAAGGTCACGAGGACTTTACTCCTATAGTTTTTATTATTATTATTATTATTATTAACATATAATGTATTATTAGTTTCAGGGGTACAGGACTGTGATTCATCAGTCTTACACAATTCAGAGTGCTCACCACAACACATATCCTCCCCAATGTCCATCACCCAGCCACCCCATCCCTCCCACCCCTCACCACTCCAGCAGCCCTCAGTTTGTTTCCTGAGATTAAGAGTCTTTTATGGTTTGTCTCCCTCTCTGGTTTCATCTTGTTTCATTTTTTCCTCTCTTTCCCTTTGATGCTCTGCCTTGTTTCTTAAGTTCCGTATATCAGTGAGATCATATGATAATTATCTGTCTCTGATTGACTTGTTCCATTTAGCATAATACCCTCCAGTTCCATCTACATCGTTGCAAATGGCTCCTATGTTTTCTTCTAAGAGGTTAATAGTGTTGGCTCTGACATTTAGGCCTGTGCTCCATTTTGAATTAATTTTTCATATATGGCATAAAGTAAGGATCTAACTTTGTTATTTTGCATGTGGATGTCTAATTTTCCCAGCACCATTTGTTGAAAAGACCTTTGAATGATCCTGGCACCCTTGTTAAAAATCATTTGGCTACATAGGTGAAGGTTTATTTCTGGGCTATTTTATTCCATTGGTCTATATATCTGACTATGCCAATACCACACTGTTGTTTAATTACTATAGCTTTGTAGTAAGTTTTCAAATCAGGAAGTGTGAGTTTTCCAACTCTGTTCTTTTTTAAGATTATTTTGGTTACTTGGGGATACCCTAAGATTCCAAATGAATTTCAGGATGGGTTTTTCTACTTCTGTAAAAAATGTCATTGCATTTTGATAGGAATTGCATTGAATCTGTAGACTGCTTTGGTAGAATTGTGGTTTTAACAATGTTAAGTCTTCCTATCCACGAACATGGGGTGTCTTTTCATTTATCTAGAACTTCTTTCATTTCTTTTCAATTTTTTAATTTTTAAATATTTTATTATTTATTTGTCAGAGAGAGAGAGAGAGAGCGAGCGAGCACAAGCAGGGGGAGCGGCAGGCAGAGGAAGAAGCAGACTCCCCGCTGAGCAGGGAGCCTGATGCGGGACTCAATCCCAGGACCCTGGGATCATGACTTGAGCCAAAGGCAGACGCTTAACCAACTGAGCCACCCAGGTGTCCCTGTACCTGCTTTTAAAACTTAATTTACCATTAGCATCTACCAAGTTGCTACAAACAGTCTGTAAATATTTTTAAAGACTGCATCCCACTATCTTCTAAAGCCACCCTTACGGCTGGATATTCATACTACTTACATTTCTCCTTGTCAACAGGACCTTTTATTTACTTTTTGCCAATTTACTGTTTTATACGGTAGTGTGAGGCTGTTTCTGATGTACTTCCAGCTATCTGTTAACTAACCTCATGTTAATAAAGACAGAGTTCTTCATAGAAAAGAAATATTAACTCATTTGTTTTAATCACCAAAAATGTTTTATCCAGTTTATCTTCTGCTTTTTAATAAATTCTCTTTGACTTTTTAGAGTTTCAAATTATAAATTAGTCTGATAAATTTTATGCTATATCCAAACAATGGAATACTATTCACAATAAAAAGAACAGACTTTTGATATAAACGACATGGATGAATCTAAAAATCATTATACTGAGTGTAAAATGCCAGACTAAAGGGTAGAGAATGTATGATGTCCATTTGTATGACATTTTATTTTATTTAAAGATTTATTTATTTGGGGCACCTGGGTGGCTCAGTCATTAAGCGTCTGCCTTCAGCTCAGGTCATGATCCCAGGGTCCTGGGATCGAGCCCCACATCGGGCTCCCTGCTCAGCAGGAGGCCTGCTTCTCCCTCTCCCACTCCCCCTGCTTGTGTTCCTGCTCTCGCTATCTCTCTCTGTCAAATAAATAAAATCTTAAAAAAAAAAAAGATTTATTTGAGAGAGAGTGCGCATGCAAGCAGGGGGGAGGGGCAGAGGGAGAGAGAGAGAAATCTGTAAACAGATTCCCTGCTGAGTGTGGAGCCCAACACAGGACTCCATCCCAGGACCCTGAGATCATGATCTGGGCTGAAATCAAGAGTTGGACACTTAACTAAGCCACCCCAGGCACCGCCGTTTATATAACATTTTAGAACTGCAAACTGATTTACAGTGACAGAAAGCCAGAAGTAGAGGGAAAGAGGAATTGCAAAGGGCATTAGAAAACTTTAGGGGTGATGAAAGTTGTCTGTATCTTGATTGTGACAGTGGTTTCATGAATATATACATCTGTCAAAACTTTAAATGGATACAGTTAATTGTATTTAAAGTATACGTCAATAAATTAAATTGTTGGCAAAAATATTTAAAATCCTTAAGTGGTCAAATCTGAGACTTTTCCTTTAGAATTTCTTTTTTTTTTAAAGATTTTATTTATTTATTTGACAGAGAGAGACACAGCAAGAGAAGGAACACAAGCAGCAGGGGTGGGAGAGGGAGAAGCAGGCTTCCCGCCGAGCAGGGAGCCCGATGCTCGATCCCAGGATCCTGGGATCATGACCTGAGCCGAAGGCAGACGCTTAACGACTGAGCCACCCAGGCGCCCCTCCTTTAGAATTTCTTGTATCATTTCTAAGCTTATAAAGTTTTCCTGTCTCTGGAAAATTTTTATATTCCTCTTTCTTCTTGTGAAACTTAAAAATATTTAAAATATTTAATTTTAATCTATCAGAAGTTTATTTTGATTTTTTTTTAAAGATTTTATTTATTTATCTGAGAGAGAGAGAATGAGAGGTAGAGAGCACAAGAGGGAAGAGGGTCAGAGGGAGAAGCAGACTCCCTGCCGAGCAGGGAACCCGATGTGGGACTCGATCCAGGGACTCCAGGATCATGACCCGAGCCGAAGGCAGTCGCTTAACCAACTGAGCCACCCAGGCGCCCCTATTTTGATTTTTGATATGAGGTAAGAATCCATTCTCCCCTGCCCCAAGTTAGCTAACTTATTGTCCCAGCACTTGAACGATTCATGTTTTCTTCCTTCATCAACGTTTTCATCTAATAACGCCATCCATTCTGTCTTGTTGGCCTGCTTGCACTTCTGAACACCCTTTAAGGCAGCAGGTTCTATGTGGAAGAAAGATAGAATTTTCTCTGAATCGTTCACAGAACTTACTTTCTGAGCCATCTGATCATACCACCTCACCTAGTCTCTGTCTTGACTCAAACAGGCTGGTTTTGAGGCTGAAACTAAACACAGTAGAGGGCCTGCCCTCCACTCTAGTGTCATACTGAGATGAGTTGTGCCGTGGCCAGGAGAAAAGCCTAGGGAGAACTCACAGCTGCCTTCTTCCTTGCAAGGGGAGGGGAAAGTGTTAAAAAAACTGGTGAAGTTAAAGGGTGGTTCTGGGGGTGTAACTTTCACAGAGGTGGAGGGGAAGTCTGGGTGTGTCAGGGGGTGGGGCTGAGCCCTCATGGGGAAAGTGAGCCATTTCTCTTCTCTCTGGCTCTCTTATAATTCTTTCTCGTGCTAATGGATGAATGGAGCCCCATCAATGTTAGAGGAACAGCTTCTTTCCAGTTCTTAAGTGGGTGAGCCTTTGTGTCCCTGGGCGGGAGGGGGGCCATTTAAGGCCTTCTTCAGCCTACTTTCTGGTCCTTTTTGGGATGAGTTAACTGGGCATGGGTAGCTGTTGGCCCTCCGGACCCAGAACTCTTTTCTAGCTAAGCCCTTTACGGAGCAGTGAGGTTGACAATTGGACAGGCCTCTCCATGAACTCCCTGCCTGCCTGCCTGCCTCAATGGCAATGCTGGTTCCTGACATCCTGTCCCACGGTGGTGGAACAGGGACAGGGAGTTATGTGGTTTTTGTCTCCAAAGTGTTGAGTATCCTTCTGAACATCAAAGCCATGGACTGATAAAACACCTACCCCATCATAGAAGGAAATGGCATTCATGTGATCCTTGGAAAGGACAATACTTCCGTGATGACGGTGAGAAAACAGAAGACCACTAGAGAAGAAGTGCACTTTCCCTGGAAGGAAAAGAGAGCTGGTCAGAGCTGGAGGGCTGGACCCTGGGGGCCAGATCCCAGTGTCCTTGCAGGTGCCAGGGCACACCACACTGGTAACTAGAGACTAGTACCTGTAATGCTTAAGTTACATGGTTTTTATGCTGAGTCCTGTGCTCTGGGGAAGCCAATGTACACTCTTGAAGCTTCAGAGAGAAATGAGGTATCACAGTCTTTGCATAAGAATTAGAAAAAAACAAGTGAGTAAGTTATCAGCTGCTAGGAGAGAGGCAAAATTCACATTCACTTGTGGGTGTCTTCCGGGGAAACACACAGAAAAAGACTTTGGGTATGTCTGCTCCACCACTGAGTTTATAGACTCTTCTTTCTCCTATTTTGGCAGAAGCTGGCTTGGCTCTAAAGAGACTAGCACATCCCTCACTTAAAGCCCAGCAAGGAGCACTAGGGTCTCAGGTAAAGGACTGATGAAGGGACCTAAGGGTCCCTGTGCCCAGCAAAGGAACATCTGAGTTAGATAATAGGGGATTCTACAGACACTAGAGGCCTGCTGCTCTACATTCACAAGAACAAGATGGGTGGGATGTGGACAATGGATGTGGCTTCCTCAGTTCAAGGATTCAGGTCCAAGGAGAGCTGCTGTTTCCTGGGCGGCCAAGGTCATACAGAATAGCTCATTAAGGGCCCTAGGGGGCAGACCAAAGAAAGGATAGACACCTGAGATGACAGGTGTTAAGACTGGGCTTGCTTTGGAGACTTAAATGAAGCACCCAGAGTACCCATAAACAGTGGGGTAAAGCTGCTCCTTGGAGCTGGTCCAAGCTATATCCTTTCTGTTCTTCTAATAGCCTTTCTTTCTTTGTTTTCACAACTGTACAAGAGAGAAAGTACTTCTTGGAGTTCAAGGCACAAGCTTGGTAATATTGTTATCAATATCTAACTGCTGAGACAGAGGACAGAAGACAAAGAAGACGGACTGATTCCTCGAGATGTAGCGCTAGGAAGTTAGCCCCAAAGCTCTGGAGATTGTGAGGACAAGAAGAGCAAAGGCCAAGGTGAGGAATTTTGGAGACTTCAAGTTGAAGTCTTCCTCAGGAGGTGGGGTTTCAGGAGGCAGAGAGGCCTAGTGTGTATGTGTGCTTGTGTGTACGTGTTAAGGGGGCATGGGAAGAAGTGGGGGAGGTGGAGGCAGCTTTTAGGTACAAGAGGAAGGTTGGGAGCCTGAATATAAATGGAAGAACTAGATGACCGGTCAGAGGGAAATAATGCTAACCTTAGCACCTGGGGCAGCAGCAGCCCAGTTCAAGGCATCGAGGGTCAAGCCCTGTAAGCTTCACAGCCTCTAACACGTAGAGCTCAACCTCCTTTGCACGTAGCCTTGCCCTGTGGCCCTCTTGAATAGAGGCTACCCACGACCCAGCCTTATCCTGTATCACAGCCAAGGCTCCTCACGGCTGTCCCCAGACCATTCCCTTACATGCTGGCACAATACTTCCATTCCCGCAGAGACACAAGCCCTTTCTTCTCTTCACTGCTCACCTCGCTGCCCTCCTAGTCATGCCAAAACTTGTGCTCAGTCTTCTCTTCCACAGCCAAGCCGTCCATCTCTTCTGAGAGATTGGGGGATGGCCCACGCCCCATTCCAGGCTCACTCCTCCTCAATCCCAATACCACAGTAGTAAAACAGCACCCAGGACATCTCAGCCTCTGAAGTTTTTCGCTCCAGAACCTACTCTCGGACTACAGCATCCCATCAGCCTTTTAGCTATCTCACTCCCTGCTCTCATCGTCTGACGTCGATGAGTCTTTGAAGCCCCAGTCCCCTACTTTTCCCTGATTGCTCAGAAATTGCTGACTTTCCTCTCATGCAGGGTAGATCTTCCGGGACAGGACATGTTTTAATCTCTGATTTGTCAGGGAAAGGGATGGGAACAGATTCTGCTCAGTGTTTACTAACAACACTAATTGCAACAAGTGTCATATACCTTATAGTTTTCTGCCTTCCCAACAATTTGAAGAGGTAATCTTCTTCTTACCAGGCTGATGGGGGGACACAAGCTTAGAGAGATTTCTCCCAAAGTCACAGAACCACTTGCAGTGGAGCCAGGTACAGGGCAGAGGTCTGTAGGGGGCCAAGGTGTTGTGGCATCGGGGCCCCTTCAGTTCTCACCCAGCTTCTTCCCCTTTGCCCTCTCCAAATGGCTATCTGATGACTGCCTTCTCTGCTTCTTAGACTGAAGAGGCCTACAGTACGGTCTGCAGTCCCTCCTCTGCTGTCTTAGCTCCTCCACCAGCTCCCCCAGGGCCCAGCCAAGATTTTCAGCACTCTCCTCACACTATGACCTCATCAATTCCAGCCACAGGATAACTCTATCTACTGCTTATAGAAAAAAGAGGGGTCAAAAGGTACTAGGAGGTAAGAACTGCTCTCCTACTACTGCTTCCTATCTGTACCCTTCCAGGTCCTTGGCTCATCCTCCACCTCTGTAGCTCTAACATGAAGCTTCTCAGAAGCAAGCGCAGTATCACTCAAAGGCCTCCTGGACAACATCCTTCCAAAGCTTCCAGAAAAGAGCACAGATGAGAGAGGTAAGCTCAATCATTTCCTCTCTATATATACTCTGAAGCCTCGAGACAAAATGGAAAAGAGGAAGACAGAAATTCACAAGGCAGTGCTGGAAAAGCACTCATTATGGGGCCTGGCCCAGGGCAGGAACTCAGTAAATGGAAGCTGATTTTAGTTCTGGTGCAGAAAGGCTATCTTGGGTCGCAGCTACCCCTCAGCCTGGCTCTGGAAGCAGTAACTTTCCTTATCCTCAGAGCACACATGAAATAACTGAAGTGACTCACTGGGTGGTCCAGTGCCTGTTACCTGGTCTCTTAGATCCTAATCCACTTGAAGTGATGACACTTCCAGTATCCGCTCCAGATTCATGACTGTCAGACTTCGGTCTGAAGGGATATGCCTTTGCACGGGTTTCTCAGTGACCACAGTAACCAACTCCTGAGGAGATCTCTTTGGCTCCTTGTCTTTTTTTTTTTTTTTAAGATTTTATTTATTTATTTGAGAGAGAGAGAGAGAGAGAGAAAGCACAGCAGAGAGGGGCAGAGGGAGAGGGAGAAGCCGACTCCCCACTGAGCAGAGAGCCCGACATGGGGCTCGATCCCAGGACTCCAGGATCATGACCTGAGCTGAAGGCAGACCCTTAACCAACTGAGCCACCCTCCTTGGCCCCTTGTCTTATCCCTGGTGCCCTTACTGAAAGGCCACTGTCATTCCTTCTCTATTCCATGAGTCTAAAAACCCAAGGTAAGAGGAAGTTCCGCCTCACTACCCAAGAAGCAACAGGAGACCAAGGCGTGGTTCTGTCTTTGATTGACCTCTGCGCTGCCAGGAGTCCAAAAGAAGGGCAAACCAAGACACCAAGTGTCAATGAAGAATTTGGCTTTACCTCCTTCAGACACCTCCAATGGTCCAGCCTGTGTGAAGAGGGAACATTTATCTTTGCTGGGGAAATATGATGCAATGGCTGGATGATTTTCATTCTATGTGACAGTGTGTGAAATGTACACATATGGCTTAAAGAAAAAGAATAACAACACAATCTTGATGCCTGTACACTCACCACACTCAGCCTAAGAAATCAAGCATTACTAGTACCTCTGAAGCCTCCCCAATGTCCTTCCTCAATGGCCCTCTCTCTGCTACCCAGAGGGAACCAACATCCCAAATTCTGTATAGTTTTATCATACTTCAATGTATCTATAAACCATATATTATTTGGTCTCGTCTGTTTTGTTTTCATATAAATAGAATCTTAACACATGTGTCCTTCTGTGACTTAATACTCTTGACATCTGTTCCTGAGTCATCCCTGTTGGAGGTAATATGCAACTGCGCAATTCATTCACATTCAGGGCTGCAGAAGACTTTCTCTTCTCAAGAGTCCTTGACTAGCTTCATGTGGACACAAGGGAATACACAAGAGGGTTTAGAATGAAGTCAGCAGATAGCAGCTGACTGCTGCCTGGGCCTTCCCATCATAAGAAGGCAGGACTCAGCTTGGTGACCAGATGTGTCCACTACAGTGCCCCTGTTTCTCACTGTTGAACAATCTCTGCCCAGTGGAAAAAAACACTCTGCAATCTGTAAATCACTACAGGGACAATGAAGGAGCTGCTTGAGTGCCAACCATTCATGGAGGCCTGTAGGAAATAGTAAATATACAGTCAACTGATATTCAACAAAAGTGCACAAACAGATCAAAGAAAAAGGAGAGTCTTTTCAATAAATGGACCTGGAAAAACTGGATATTCCTACGTAAAACAATGAACATCAACCCATACCTTGAATGAGACTTTCTGCTCATTCCCACCAGCCACAGTAGAAAACCTCATACTTCACAGGGATGTCAGGTAGAATATTCAGAAGGATTCTGCCTCAGCAGTGGGGTAAAATTAGCCCTAAATTAAATGCTGTATTTCTGTCTCCTGGCTAATAAAGCTTAAAAGCAAGGCCAGATGATAAGACTAGAAGAAAAATATATTAAAACAATTATTATAACTGTATCCCATGTGTTCAAGAAGCCAGAAGACTGAACCATGTTAACTTGAGACATGAAAAATGTAAAAAATAATCTAAATCAAACTTCCATAGATGAAAAATACAATGTCTGAGAAGAAAAATACACTAAATGAGATGAATATTAGACAGTTGTGGAAGTTTAAGCTACTCCAGGGTACTGCTGCCCCCACATACATTTTGTTTGGCCAAGTAGCTTGGGGGGCGGGGAGGGTGGTGCTTAAAATGACACTGGCCCCTCATACAAGCCCTATGTAACAGCCTGCAGAGTCACAAGAAGATATAAGTTCCTGACATGACTTCCCCGACAGCCCTTGTGATCGGATCTCCCCTGCCTTCTAGGGCCATCCCCTTAAGTACTCCTTAGAGAAAACTCTTATGGAGCTTACCAAAACCCTGCTCTTCTGGTTTGAATTGACCAATC